AAAGCTATGGTTTTTCCTGTAGTGATGTATGAAAGTGAGAGCTGGACCAGAAAGAAAGTTGACCGCCGAAGAATTGATGCCTTTGAATTGTGGTGCTGGAGGAGGCTCTTGAGAATCCCCTGGACTGCAAGGAGAACAAACCTATCAATTCTAAAGGAAATCAACCCTGAGTGCTTACTGGAAGGACAGATCCTGAAGCTGAGGCTTCAGTACTTTGGCCATCTCATGAGAAGAGAAGACTCCTTGGAAAAGATCTTGATGTTAGGAAAGTGTGAAGGAAAGAGGAGAAGGGACGAAAGAGGATGAGATGGTTGGACAGTGTCATTGAAGCAACCAACATTAATCTGGCACAATTCTGGGAGGCAGTGGAAGATAGGAGGGCTTGGCGTGCTCTGGTCTATGAGGTCACGAAGAATCGGACACGACTAAATGACTAAACAACAACAACCCCTATGTCTGATAAGTAGTATTTGTTTGAAAATAGAGAAATCAAGTCAAGTCCCAGAACACTTGTAGAATTTATTGCCTTGCTTTCAGTGCACCTTTGCTACACAAATATTTTACTTATTTGAAAAGTCACCAGCTATTCAACATGCTGTGGAAGAGACTCCCACACATATGGTAAAGGTAAGAGGAAGTGTTTTGGACCATATTTCCACACGGCTGACTTGTCATACGACTATGGCATCCTTCTCAGTTAGTTACCACAAGCTATTTCTGTGACAGCTCTGTTTACCCAAACTAAAACAAGCAGTCTACTGTTATATTGCACAATTAAGAGTTGAGGAAAAGGGGATTATGCTATCATCTGTTCACCCACTTAGGCCCAAATCAGATGTAATAAGACACATTCATACAATTAACAGTTGCAGGAATGGCTTAAAAGAACACCTTGCAGGTATCGGATGGGTTAATTCTAGGTAGGATATTTCAACTTTATACTTGTACTATATGTACTGAGAAAAAGCTCCCATTAATGCCAATATCTTCAGCTCAAGAGGGGTGTATCCCATTCTCTGAATCTTTATAGTAAGCCTTGATATGTACCTGGAAGATGTCAGGACATCTACAGGACTCTGAAGGCAGCAATCGTATGCACACTTACTTACTCAAGACAATCGGATTCTTTCTTGGGAAAAATACTTGTGACTACAGTTGCAACCAGTTCTGCATTCATTCATGCTCCCTGTACTGCAAACTGGTTGCATGGTTCACAAATCCATGTTTCTTTTAGCCCAGGGTGTTCACACAGTGGATGATATTAGCAACATTTCTTGTCTAGCTCTCCTTACCCTTCCCTGTCATTCCCCTCTGCCAATATCACCAATTTTTTTCCTCTGGCCTTTACATTCACTTTAATGCCTTGTTTTTAACACTGCATGCTCTGATGCCTAAGAGAATATAGATCATAGTTTGTCGAGACATCAGTTTATTTATTTTTGGGGAAAATATATCCCATGACTGTTGCAGCCAGCTATTGAGTTGAGTTAATCTCCCCCCCCCAAAAAAATTAGCCAATCACGTTCTGCAGGCATACTGCTAGATCCTCTTTTCTCTGTCCTTGCTTTCTTATGGTGCTTACTTTCCAGCAATCGTAGCATTCACAATGGCCAAACCAATGTGAAGAGAATCAAATTAAACTATGGTATATTTTTAAAAGCTCACATACCTCTCCCAAAAGAAATCAGGCTTCTTTGTGTGTTGTGCAGCTGAGATGTTAAAAAAATTGATTTTATTTACACAAACCCAATTCAACAGCAGTTCTTATTGTCAGGGTAACCGCACCCTAAGTTAACCAACAAAATCCTGAATGGGTTTAGCAGCATGTGCAGGCCTTGAGGTGGACCAATTATTTCACTCAAAACCACAGTTTTTCGAGACATGGATTTACTGATTTTTTTTTGTAAAAAAATCATGTTTCCATTGAATGCAGCTCTTGATGTAGTGTCCTTTAAAACAACAATGAGAAAGATATAGGGCTAATATTGTTTAGCAGTACATCGGCATAGTGCAAAACCTTTTTTTTACTCGTGAAGGAAGCAATCATCACTTCAAATTATTTTTCTGAGAATGGTTTTCTGAGTTTTTTTTGTTATATATGTATTTCATACTTCCATTCCAAATACTTTGTGGTTCAAAGTTCTCTTTAAAAACAGGACTATAATCATTATAAATAAAAAAAATGCAACGGAAAGTTATTTTAGTGGTAGTGCAAACCATTGGAAGGGAAGAGGCAAATGTGTTCACTTCCACAATACGCCTCATTATATATGCTTTGATCTGTGTTCTCAAGAGATGCCTAGCAATTTTCTTGAAGGACTGAAAACAACCATTCACACAATACAATTCTGAGCCAAAAAATAAGTGAGGAAACACAGCTGCGGTAATAGGAGCATTGGGAACTGAACAAAATCCACACAAAAATAACAAATTTCCTTGGGAGTAGCAATGACATCTGATTGTTCAAGAAAATGTCAAAATGATCATTAAGGAACACATGACAAAGATCAAGACAAATTGTAATTTCTGGGCCAACTGGAGCTGATAGGAGGCTGATGACATCTATCTTCCCCCTCCCGCACCTCCGTTCTCTTTTCCTGCTACAGGATGAGAGAAGCAACAGTAGCAGAACTGCAATTCCAGCTGAAATTTTAATGGGAAGCAGTTATCTGGCATGAGAACGCTAGCCAATTTCACTTTTGCTAGGCAAAAATTGCAGATTGTGAAAGTACAGATTGATATCGTAAATCTTTTTTTAGAGGAATAAAGTTGCTTATGGATGATAGATCGTTACCACCACAATTCCTAGGATGTGATGGGAATGGCACACTAGGTAGGAACGTCATATTTTCTTTTCTGTCCTCCTGTAAGTTGACTAAGGAAAAGCATGTCTATCCACTTTCTTCATAGCATGCATCATTTTATAAATTACTATCATTTTTCTAATTTGACATTTTTTTCTAAACTAAAAAAAAGTCTCTAATATAAACCTTTTTCATAGTAAGCTGCTCCAGTCCTCTGATCTCCCCTAGTGACTGAGCCCCCTATTGGAGTGGAGTGAGGGATCAGAAGATCTTGGGACAGACTTCAGAAATGACAGTGTCACCCAGCACCCTGCTCCTTTGCTGCTTTGCTGCAATCCTCACAAGTATCTGAGGTGGGCCATGGATTTTTTCTAGCAACACTAAATATAATGACAATATCTGCACATGGCTGGATCTTGAATTAAGACCCATTCATTTTACAAAAGACCTGCACCAGATGAATATGAACATTGTTATAATGTTTTGTGTTGTTTACATTTTTGGACAATCTACATAGGGTGAAGAGCACCTGTACCCTGATCATTCTGGTCATCCCTTGTGGATTATGGGCTGTCTGCAGCACTCTTTCTTAGTCATATCTTTCAGTGATGTGGTGGTTCAATTTTGACCTTCGGGTTCTTGAGATATGTTTAATATAGAACCTACTGCCATTCTTATCACAACTACATTTTGTCTCCCTTTTGTGCTGAATAAAGCTTGGCTCTTCTGAAAGATGATTTAATTACTTATAATACTATTTATTATGTGTTAATCACTGGAATGATTATGTATGCTGTGTCCAACTTTTATCTCCATGTGTGCCAAATGGAGATAGTCAGTCAGTCCATCCATCTATCCATTTTTATATCACCTATCTAAACCAATGGTTACTCTGCACACTTAATCTGAATAGTGTAATAAGACCATAACAAAAACATTACATAATCAGTGCTAAGATAAAATAAATAGCAAATTAAGTAAAATAATAAAACAATTAAGATATTTAGAACATGTAAACCATCTGGAACAGATCATAAAGTGGTTGTTGTGCACTGGAACAGATTGTAAAGTGGTCATTGTGCAAGCACCTAGAAAACAATGCTGTAATAACTAGAAGCCAACACGGATTTGTCAAGAACAAATCCTGCCAAACTAATTTGATCTCATTTTTTGATCAGGTCACCTCCCTGATAGACAGAGGGAATGCTGTAGATATAGTATATCTTGACTTCAGCAAAACTTTTGACAAAGTGCCCCATGATATCCTGATTAGCAAGATAGCTTGGTGTGGTCTGGATAGAACAAGTGTCAGGTGGATATACAATTGGCTACAGAATCATACTCAGAGGGTGATGATTAATGGGTCTTTCTCTAACTGGGAGGAGGTAACAAGTGGGGTACCCCAAGGCTCAGTCTTGGGCCTGGTGCTCTTTAATATTTTTATTAATGACGTGGATGAGGGAGTACAGGAATGCTTGCCAAATTTGCAGATGATACCGAATTGGGCAGAATAGCTAATACCCTAGAAAACAGCAACAAAACTGAAAATGACCTTGATAGGAAGGAGCACTGGGCCAAAAGCAACAGAATAAAATTCAACAGGGATAAGTGCAAAGTACTGCAACTTGGAAAAAGAAACCAAATGCACAGTTATAAGATGGGGATATCAGGTTCAGCAAAACTACAAGTGAGAAGGATCTTGGAATTGTCATAAATTACAAGCTAAATATGAGCCAAGAGTGTGATGTCACTACAAAAAAGGCAAATGCTATTTTAGGCTGCATTGAGAGAAGTATAGTTTCCAATCCCTCAAGGTGTTAGTCCCCCTCTATTCAGTACTGTTAGGCTTCACCTTGAGTATTGTGTCAAGTTCTGGACACCACACTTCAAGAAGGATGTTAACAAATTGGAACAAATTCAGAGGAGGGCAACAAGTATGACCAGGGGCTGGAAACCAAGCCTTATGAGGAAAGGATGAAAGAACTGGGCATTTTTAGCCTTTAGAAAAGAAGACTGAGGGATGATATGATAGCACTTTTCAAATAATTGAAAGGCTGTCATACAGAGGAGGAGCAAGATCTGTTCTCGATCATCCCAGAGTGCAGGACACACAACAATGGGCTCAAGTCAAAGGAAGCCAAATTTCTGAAGAATATCAGAAAAAAAATCCTAACTGTTAGAGCAGCATGACAGTGGAATCAGTTACCTTGAGAGTTGGTGACTGATTGGAAACTCTTCTCCCTATATTATTCAAATGAATACTGGAGTTCCCGAGACTGGATTCTAGCAACTTTCCACACACACACACACACACACACACACACACACACACACACACACCATACTGACAATCCATGTATACCAACAGATTATATTAGATTAGGCATCCTTCAGTCTCGAGAGATTATGGTAACGTGCTCTGAATAGAGGACTTGGAACAGTGTCTAGTTTTGCTGAGAAGGCCAATTCAAGAGTGACAGTTCCTTCCACACTGAAGACAAATACAGTCTGTTCCCTGTCCAGCTCCATGGTTTTGCTGATTTCGGGACTGCCTCTTTGCCTCAGCCTGCTGGACAAGGGTCTCTTCAAAATGCAAGAGGCCATGATGCACCGCCTGCCTCCAGGCTGAATGCTCAGATGTCGAGGTTTCCCATCTGTTGAGGTCCATTCCTAAGGCCTTCAGATCCTGCTTGCAGATATCCTTGTATCACAACTGTGGTCTCCCTCCCTATACCAACAATTATACTAATTAAAAGAGGGATATGATGGCAATGTGGGTTAAATCGCAAAAAGCCTCTGGGCTGCAAGTTTGAAAGATCAGCAGTTCAAATCCATGTGATGGAGTGAGCTCTTGTCACTTTTCCCAGCTCCTGCCAACCTAGCAGTTCGAAAGCAGGTAAAATGCGAGTAGATAAATAGGTACCATCTCGGTGGGAAGGTAACAGCGTTCTGTGTCTAGTTGCGCTAGCCATGTGACTACGGAAACTGTCTTTGGGCAAATGCTGGCTCTATGGCTTGGAAACGGGGATGAGCACCGCTCCCTAGAGTTGTATATGACTGGACACATTGTCAAGGGAAACCTTTATGTTTACCTATACTGATTAAAAGCAGAACATTGGTTATGTAGTGAAAGCCTAAATGGCAAGAACATTTACTATACTGTACTTTCATAGGATAGGGTGGAACAAAGCTTAGACCATAGTGGAGGGACACAGGTTAAGGTTGTACTTCATCCATGAAGTTTATGTGGTGGCCAAACCTAATTGTGATCTCTGAGCTCAAACAAGCTCACAGGGTTACTGTGAGGATAAAAAAAGGGGGGAGGCGAAAACATTAAAATAAATAAAAGTACACTCTTTAGCAAAGTTGTTTGTGAAAATATAGCAAAAATCTATGCAACTTTCACATTATACCGGATGAGCTTCAACATAGTCCCATTTCTGTGAAAATCTATTTCAAAATGCACAACGTGTACATTTCTTGAAATGTGACTGTCCAATGGAACGTAATTTTTGTAGCATAATTCTAACACAATTCTATGGACTTGATACTCAGGTGCTTTTGCTTTCAATCTCTCTGACATGTTCACATTCTTAATTTTTATGCTGTTAATGTGAAAAGTTATTTCCTTATGCAAAAGCCTAAGTGAAAGATCAAAGCATCCTAGTTTTAAATGATAATATATGCAAGATCAGTTTTTAAATTCCTGCAACCTATTTAACAACAGGAGGAATGTCGGACTGAACAGCCTAAGGCAGAATGATGCTCAATACAAGTACAGCTGGTTCTGTTATTAATGCCAGCAGAAGCCTCGCTATTAAAGGTCCTTCTCTAAGGCAAATGCATCATTAAAATGCCTGTCCATTCACATTAATTTTCTGCTTCCACAAGTAATGTTTTGGGCACTAAAGCAAACGTTGACAGATTGCAAGAATGAACAGCGGGAAGATGGGATCACATTTAACTAAGATCAAGACCGTACACAGCAGCTAGCGTTTGCATTATGGCATCCACATTTGGGACCTGCAAACCATGTTGAAGTTATGGGGCACTCTTTTCAGGGTTCTACGTAGCCAGCCATATCTTTTCCAGGACATTCTATTCCATTCCCTCTCCTCGTGGTGCAGGGGTTAAATCGCTGTACTGCAGCCAAAACTGTGCTCACGACCTGGGGTTCAATCCCAGGTAGCCGGCTCAAGGTTGACTCAGCCTTCTATCCTTCCGAGGTTAGTAAAATGAGTACCCGGCTTGCTGGGGGTGGGGGCAATGTGTAGCCTGCATAATTAACTTGTACACCACCCAGAGAGTGCTTGAAGCACTATGCTCCTCACTTTTTTCTCAGCTGCTGCTAAGTGTAAAGGATTGGGATGACAAAGAAAACAGGATAAAGATATTTAACACAACCTTTTAGCTATTCTAATCCTAATTTCTCAAATTACATATCTATTCATCTATCTAGCTGGGGAAAACAGCTGATGAAAACAAGGCTGTATGGAGGCATTTCCTCCCACCTCTGCCATAATGGGTTCTATGGAGGCATTTCCTCCCACCTCTGTCAATCAATCTATTCAGGCTGCTGTGCAAACATCAACTTATCTATATACACATCACAAAAAAACTAAACAGGTGGGAATTGAAATAATCATATATGGTTATTAGACAGGATGGAATCTCCATATTTCCTCTGAAGACATCTAACAGAACACTCAAGTTCATTCTTAAGGTATTAGCCATTACAAAATATTAAAAATGTTTATTTATACTACACAGATATATGTGCTAATAGAAAATATAGCCTGCAGACCTGCATGTATGGACAGTCTGGCATTTGGCTCACTAAAATCCCTGCCTCACATTTTCATACCTGAATATGTAGGCTTTAAAAACAAAAACAAAGCTGCATTACTTACCACCCAGGGCTTGTCACAGAAGTTGTAGATTGACTCCAAGGAGTTAATACTTGGAATTCCAGCGTAATGCATCCCAATAATTAAGTTACGGAAGTCTTCATTTTCTGCCATGCTGAATGAGTGTTGTCGAACAAGAACGAAGTCAGGCCTGAATGATCTAAGGATAATTAGATATATAAATAAATATATATTGAAATACCACAACAAAGGAAAGAAATATGAGATGTTAGATTAGAGGAGATAAATTAAAACATTTACAGGAAAAGCACTGACTTGTAAACCAGAAAATATAGTTTTGGCAGGAGATTAAACCCAAGAATTCTTGTGTTACTAAAACCACGGTCCTATTTGATTCTGGATTAATGGTAATGAAATCAACATGACTTTCTGAAGAGAAAACGTGTTTCAGAGTAGACTGGATATCAGTAATGAGGTTGTCAGATAACACATAGAAAGAGGACTCTTGGAAGCTTTAGTCCATATATAGTTCTACATCCTTTCCTTACTCTAAAGGGCTCTCAATCACAGGAACTCTGTAAGTATGATCCGCTGAATATTGTTATGGGTAGGCTCCTCCATAGACCTTTATGCTGAACATGTAAAGGTGTGATTATAGGGAAGTTGAGTCATAGCAACTGGACTTCTTTCTTGTTAGCTTGAAACGTTTTGCTATTCATCCAAACATCCAGACTGAATAAGCTGCTTGAATGAGCAGAGAAACAATTCAATCAAACAAGAAAGAAGTCCAGTTGCCATGACTCAACTTCCAGATGTGAAGGTCTGTTTGACTTCAAAGTGGGCAGGGTTTAGGCGCATGTTGTGCCAAGAGTAGAGCTGTTCATGCTTTCAGGCACAATTAGAAAACAAGGCTATAGTGTTAAGAAATATCAAGAACATGACAAATTTGTGTAAATACTATACACCTGGATTCAATCTCAGAAACTGTAACTTGCATACCTCAATATCTCTGTTCAGCTGTCAATTCATTCCATGCTACTGTAGGCAAAAACATTTAATGCATTAAGTCAGGTCGCTAGACCAGATTGTTCCCATCCATTGGTCTCAAACTTAATTGGAATTAAGTTTAGATTGGGTATAAGCTTATCCTAGCAAGCACTGAGGCAAATTCAATTTCTAACAGGACGTCAGACCTGTCCTCGGCCATGAAGTCTTCCACCAAGTTCTTGTTTCAGGTGAGCACAATTTACATGTGGGACCGGTGGGCAGAACTCCCAGAATGGAGAATTCTGGGATCTGGAGTTAGAAGAAAGGGGGGAGGGGAATGACAAGAGGTGACAAGGAATTTTATTATTTCTAATTAGGTTTTCCATAACTTCTCAAAGGAGGAGAGTCTTTGTCTCTTCAGAAGCAAAGCACGCACACACAACACACACACAAGCATTGTTGTTCAAAAAAAGATACTGTCTTGCAGTGCTTCTAATGCCATCAAGCAACAATTGTCGTTTTTGTCTAAATTGCACTAGTTACACTGAAGCATTATTTTGTACAATGTTGCCTACCTTGTGCAAAAACAAACACTCACAAAAAACCCAGAAAAAAACAACCCACCTTCATTCTCTTCTGTCATAAGCACTACAAAATGCCTCACTTTCTTATGGGCAAGGTGAATAATCTTGAATTCTTAATTTTTGCCTGCAAGGATAAGGCAAGTGAGGATTTAAAACCCCTCTATGACACTGACCCTATAAAAGGATAATGTGATCAAACTACTTGACCACACTGGGGATACAATTCCCTTGACTGTGGGTTAGAGTCCTAACTATTTAGAAACATATACCGTGAAGTACAAGTACACAGGAATCAAGCTTAAGACTGCAGTCCTAACAAATGTACTTGCCAATAACTTAACCCCTATTTCTACCCACCACCTGATTAATGAATTCATGCTATGAATTCAGGTGGTGTATGAACATATATACCTTATGACAGAACTTCACAGGATTTAAACCATAGCCTTAAAAGAAATAACAACTAAATTTAACAAAATTGATCTTGCCTTTAAATATTATTTTTAATTACAAACATCTTTGCCTTTCTGAAAACACATTAGAAACTTTCATTGTGCTAAAGTCTACCCATTTTTGACCTATATAAATTTTTGAGCCTCTTTCCCCAGTGTCACCTGCCCAATCCACTAGATCAGGGGTCCCCAAACCCCTGGTCTGCGACCTGGCAGCAGCCCGCAGCCTAGGCATGACTGGGCCATGGACACAGATCTCCTGCCCCCCCCCACAGGGCCCCCCCACGAGTGCACCACACGCATGCGCACAAGCACATTCTGCCCCCTGCGAGTACGCCATGCGCATGTTTGCAAGCATGCCATGCCACATCCCTGCGAGCATGCCACACACCCCAATCAGTCCGCGGTTGGGAAAAGGTGGGGGGGCCACTGCACTAGATCATCACAGGCAAGCTGCTCCAAGTGGCCACCCCAAAGGAGGCCCGTACGTCATATATTACTAGAGGTAGGGCCTTCTTTGAGGTGGAGCTTTGCCTGGTCCCCTTCCTGTTGACATTTAGGAGGCAACTGAAGACATGGCTTTTCAGGGAGGTTTTCCACACTGACCCTAGTTGATCACTCTTTTTCATCCATCATTTCTCTGCATTATCGCATCAAGCACTGTCTGTTTTATTGATTAATTGTTTATGGTTTTAACAGTTCTACTTTTATTTCTGTTTTGTGTTGCTTTTTTACTGTAAACTACCCAGAGTAGTGCCCTGGCACTAATACAAATGGTATACAAATCCAACCCAATCCAATTGAATCATCAATAAGTATATTCCTGAGTGGTTTTTTAAATATCTACCTATAGTTCCCCTCCAATAAGATATCATTTATACCTACCTTAGAGATAGTATTTTGCTGGTGAACTAGCAGAATTATTTTTGTATGTTTCCCAGTTAGTGTGGATTTAATTCAGTTGTGCTGCAGGAACAGCAATGATGGGAGCGAAGGGACTCATTTGGAGTATGACAACAACCTACCTTCCCCATTTCTTACTGCAATACTCATGTGAATCAGGTCATTCTGAGTGCACATATACCCAGGCCTTCCATCTTCTGTTATGGTTTTTAAATCATGCCTGTTACGGTGTTTGTGAACACAGAGCAAAGAAAACAGACACAGCAAAACTGTGTCATGCCTAGATATGGGCACTTTGAATTAGCATATTTGGCTGAGCAGGGAGACTCCCTGTCCCGCCTCTGCACCAAAATGGTCAGCTTCACAGGGAGGCAGAGAAAGGCCAGCTGGGCTCATGCTGGGATTGCTCTGCCATTGCTGAAGGAGGACCCTAGAGCTGCACAGAGTCTGGTGAGTGAGCCGGCTGATTCTGGGGGTGAGATATAAATATAAAATGCCCATGTCTAACCATGCCCTATGTCATGAGCATCCCTCCATGATTAAGCTCCTGTGGAAAGAATGGAGGTACCCTATGTAAATATTAATCACTGCTACAACCCAGCTACATCTGCTGCTTTGGGGAGGTTCCCCCCCCCGCTATTTAATTCAAGGGAACATTAGTAGCAACTACTCTGTTTCCCCGAAAATAAGACCAAACCTGAAAATAAGCCATTGTATGGTTTTTCAGGATGCTTGTAATATAAGGCCAACCCCCAAAATAATCCCCAGTCAAGTGAATCCCTGCCTTCCACCACTGTGCAGCAACCAGAAGAAGATGACATGATTGTCTTTGAATATATGTAGATGGTTGTATATGGAAAGGAAAAAAAAATCCCCTGAAAATAAGCCCTAATGCATTTTTTGGAGCAAAAATTAATATAAGACCCTGTCTTATTTTTGGGGAAACACGTTAGTAAGTCTACCTTAGTACAATGGGGAACTTCATTTATAATGAATCGTCTGTCCTGCACAAGCAGGAAGTTTTGACTAATACTAAAGGCAAGCCTCCACAAATATTGAACTACTTTTAAAGAAACAAATAACTTCACTCAAATAACATAAATGAAGAGCCAAAGAAATACGCATTTTCAGACATATTTCTTATAATTTGAAAAATAAATCTGCCCACACAAAGTTGATTTTATTACCATATCCAGTTACTAAAAGGTTTGTTCTTTATCTTTACAAATTCCACAGCTGTTGATACACTGCTCACTAGAGACGGAGACAAAGTGCCAGAATGAGGCTTTGTCTTTGTTTGTGGATTGTCAACCTTGATGACCCATGAACCACGAATTGCCCCTCAGTGGCCCCACGAACCAGGAATCAATTTGTCAGGTCTTTTTTTTTTGTTAGATAACCCATATGGATATCTAATAAAATTTTTAGCAAAGCAATCCCCTCTATCTTTGTAAACTGGTGTGTGTGTGAGATATATATATATATATAAAATGTTCAATGGCTCATAGCATTTGATCGGTGTGTGTGTGTGAGAGAGATATATATAAAATGTTCAATGGCTCATAGCATTTGATATACATTCTCTCATTAATAGTTTTCACAGTCTTGTATATTTATTTGTTTTTAGGAAATTAGAAGACTGCAATTTTGGGAGAAACTAAAGTAACTCCTTTGAAATCACTGGAATCCAACCTATGTGTTGAAGCAGATAGGAACAAAATTTGGACCCCACGCATGATTCAAGTATGTTCAGGGTGTTGGTTAAAACATAACAAGAATAAATGCCTTCTCATAAACTGAAAAGCAAAATGTTCAGCTCTGCAGATGCTAGAACGTGGATGGGCAACATTGATGGGCTTGGGAGCAAAATTTTGAACCCCAAAACCAAAATGGCCATACCAGGCCTGGGAATAGCTGAAAGTGACAATTAAAACCCACCAAGCAGCCAACTAGAACAGAAATGAGAACAAAACCAAAGGAGAAAAATGTGGAGAGAAGTTGCCTTGTAACCAAAGTTGGATACCTACTACTTTTGAAAGCCTTCAGGCACAGAAACAGGCATCTCACTATTTTTTATGTATTCTTAATAGGGGAGCTCTGAGATAGCTTTGGGAGCCATAAAAAAAAGCCCCTGGGTGCCACATGTGGCCTGCAAACTGCATTATACCCATCCCTGCTCTAGAGGCAATATGATACCAATCTATAAGAAGGGGAACAAAGACGAACCCTCAAATTATAGACCATTCAGCCTTCTATCAATAGCAGGCAAGCTT